CTCATTCGTGCCGCCTCCGATCTCGAGGAGCTTGGCATCGCGCCTGGGACGTGAAACCGACGGACTCTCTCTGATTGCTTCATCCATGTGAAACGCAGGCTTCTGCCCTGGACAGCTGAGGACATGGCCAAAGCCGCTCCACGTTGTACTCACCAACGTAACCATATCCGCCCAAGACCTTCAAGGAGAACAAAATCGCTTTTGGAATCGAAAACCTTCTTATGCTCCCAATTGTCCTAATACGTGCCATTTCGAGGCATGAAAAGAACCGCGGTTGTAAGTGGCAGGTCCCCATGGCCCCCGTCATCTTGCAGCGACCTGAATCGCACGGTCGGCCACCATTTTGCCCATGTGGCCACAGTACAACTTCACCCCATCGGCATCCAAGCCGTTTCCTCACCAGCATGCGGCAAGGTCGCACCAAAGAAGCACTGCATCAAAAAAATAATGCTTGATTTTATGCGGACTGTGAACGATGGGTTAGCTTGCTTCATGAGAGGGCGCTAGGGCAGGCCTACTGGATGGACTGCCTCGACATGAGGCTCCAACAAGAGGTAAGACAAGCTGCACAGTCTTCCAAAAGGAACTTTAACAACTCAACCATTCGAGGTTTTCACCATGGCAACAACCTTGGTGCCACCATCGGTCCTACAGACTCCAGGTTCAGGTGCTTGGCCGTCTGGTACACATAGCTGCGGCCTGCCTCACGGATCTCACGGCCGACAGCAGCTACGAAGCTTTGTTAGCAGGAGACCCGCACCTGGTACTCGGCGTAGGACTCAGCGATGAAACGCTGGATCTGGCCGAAGCTGTTCAGCTGCGAACCGAAGGCCTGCAACCGGTCTGCAGGAACTACACGAGCCCGGATCCAACAATGGCATATGCGGCATATGGGTGCCGCATGCACTGTCAGGCCTTGCGGTCCTTGGCATACCTGGCGCAAGAAGGCTGGCGACCGGTGCTGTGTCAGGTGTGTCGGTGTCTCGGAGCTCTGCCCCATTGGAAGTTCCAGCTTTGGAGACATATCCCACTGAGACGCACAGCACCGTGTGGCGCCTGTTCATCTCTTCAACACATCTTCGAGCGATGCCGAGGCTCATCGACGCAAGCGCGACCTTTGGGAGCGAAACCCGCAGCACTCAGAGCTACCTCCGCCTTGCACAAGCCCTGTCGGTGCATTGGTGCATATTGGTGCATTGCGATCTCTGCCGCAAGAAGAAGCCGCAAAGTGTAGCAGAGACTTGCGATGAATACAACGGAACCAGTTCATCTTTCGCAATTCTAGAACCCAACTCAAGCAAAACAACACAGCCCGGTGCGGCCAGAATGTGCTAAGCCTGACGCTCTCTCAATTTCCAGATTCCGCATCATGCACAGCGCAGCTTTGCCTGCTATCAAACATCAAGACAAGTGCTGTGACATCCGCGAGGCTTCTCAGCCGTGGCTGGCCTTCCTGGCCAACCAAGTTGGAGGCCGGGACACGGCAGTCCTCATGTCAGCAGAAGCCCCCCCCCCGGTGCGCGAGCTGAGAAGGCCAAAGGACAACTCGAGAGCCTGGAAGACCAACTCGGCCGTCATGGACGCCCGCATCCCGCACTTGTCCTGCCACTGGGCTGCCACAAAGACTCATCTCTCTCCCGAGCGCGCACGACAGCGGCAGTGAGAAACCTGCCTGGATCTTCTGTCCCAGAGAGAAGCCTTTCGTACCTTTCTCGACCAGGAACAGGGAGATGTCCCTGCTGGTGTTGCCTGTGCGTGCATAGACCTGAGACACTGCTCACTCGTCCCATCTATCCAAGGGCATGGTGGAATGCTTTCCCTGCCGATCCCAAGGCTCCAGCAAGGTAGGCGTCGCCAGTCTCTTTCCCATCAACGGTGCCATTTGTGATCCACATTTTGGCTCCGTTGATGACATACCTGCAACACTCATGCAACTGTGTCCGAGCATCACTGATGCCGCCATGGGGACAGGACCATGAAAGCAAAGACAATTCTCGTACACATCTCTTCATCCTGCCTACCTGCCGGCTCTTTGGCGTCCTGAACCTACCGTGGCTGTCCCAGGACGGAAAGCCGCTTCCCTGAGGAAGGCACTCGTCGCCCTCACGTGTTGCGGTTGTCTTCATGCCCAGCACATCCGTTCCAACCTCAGAGAGCTCCGCTGAGCAGAAACTCGGCATGAAGGTCAAGGCGGACTTGGGCCCGAGCAGCCGGCTCGGACATGCACCTCATCCCGGACTGGGACTTGCAGGTTTGAAGCTGCTTGCAAGCTGCTTGGCAGGCGTCTCAGAGCTTCGTCCAGAGCCCTGAGGAGCCGGCATGCCGCACACTTTGGAGCCGTCGACAGCAGAGGGCAGCCACTTCTGCTTCTGAGCCTTTGCGACGGACGAAAAAGCTTTGCAGCGCACAAATCGGTCGGAGGCACGTGCAGTCTCAAGCTTCCAAACACTCCTGACCTCGTTGCCGTTCTGCGCAAGGTTGTTCACGAACAGCATGCTGTGCGCCTGCGCGTGCTCTCTGAACTGTGCACCCATACAGCCATGCACACCGGCTGTCAAGCTAATGGATCAAGAGCGCAGGTGAAAATCCCTTTGATCAGTCTCAGCCGCATGAAGTTCTTGTCTACGGGAACATGCTACCAGAACCGGGGTGCCAGGTACGCCAGGCAGAAGGCGGGATCCACTGCAGCCAGTTCCTGGAATGCCGCGCACGGAGTCGACGCTCGCATGGCCTCCAAAGCGACCCCGGGGTCCTCATGGACAATGACAGCGGCCGTGGCATCCATACCACTTCCGCCGTACTCCTCACAAAAGCGTGGAAAAAAAGCAGGGTTTCAAAGTGTGATCGGTGGTCCGGCCTCGGGAACCGTGACGCCGAGAAGGCCAAGCTCACCCAACTTTCGGAAGAGTGGCCTTGACGAGGCAGGCTAGCGGCTAGGGATGACTTATCCTTCCACTCGGGAAGTCCGGGCCGGCTGCAGGTTCATCTTCTCTTCGCGATTGAAGTCTATGGCCTGGACCCGCGCGCAGACCGCGCAGCGTCATGCAGCGCCCGGGCTCGAATCTCTGCTCCCAAAGCCCACGATGCCTGCGGTTCCACTTCCGCCTCTGCAAAGGACCTGACCATCTCCCGCAGAGCCTGGGACGCAAGAGCCCGATGGCATTCGGAAATCAAAGAGCACTTTGGAGCACTTGATGACTTGATACCCTCAAAGGCAGGGCTGTAGTGGCCTGATGTTCTTCTGTCGGGCTGAAGATCGTCCCGCCAAGATCCTGCTCGGGGAAAACAGCGCCATTCCACATTCACAAATCAGATGCGCCAAGATGTATCTCGAGCAGAAGCTTATGCTTCGAAGTGTGCCTGACTTGGTAAGCTGTGAAACCTAGCCTGGCCACACACACACACACACACACCCTTCACACGTCGGAAGCATTTCCCCATACACTTGTCGGTTGCTGCTTTGGGAGTGTCCGTACAACCGCTGGTTTCAAGATTACGGGCGGACGACACTCGCGTCCTCAACGGGAGCCGGTACCTGATCCAGGCTGGTACAATCACCCTTTACAGACATGTTACAATTACAAACTGCAAAACGTGCACAGAGTGGCTACTCCAGCTGTGTCAACTGTGCCTTTGCCTGGCTAGTGGATTCAGCAGATGCGGCCGCAGGCATTGAAAATGACGGGCTTGAAGCCTGCTCCTGCAACAACACTACTGCCGGAGAAGCTAGAACTAGCCAGCGGTGTCTCTGCCCCTTTGGCTGGTGGTCTCCTGACGGTCTTTTGGTGGTCTCCTCATTACTTTCTTCGTGGTTGCGGTGTCGGCGTGTCGGCGGCATGGTCTTCCTCCCCCTCTCAGCTGGAGCACAAAGCGCACTCCCGCTTAGACCGCCGCAGAGCTCTTCGTCCGGGTATGATACAGCTAGTGTAAGGCTACAGCTAGGCTGCACAAGTCTCATCAAACCCTTTGTCGGCTGCGCCCTGTTCTCACAAAGACCTCTCAAGACTGAGAGCTGCTAAGTGGATTGCGAGACCATTGAACGTCCACCCGGATCAGAATGCCTCTCTCGCTGTGTCTACCCAAGCTTGAAGGAAGCGCGGGGCAGCACCCCCGTGCCGTCTCTTCAGACCCCTCCCTCTCCGAAGCGTGTACCACTCTAATGCTCCTGCGCCATGCTGCTTCCATTGCGAAAGCTGCACCATGGGGCAGCCTCCACTGGGAATCGGCACATTTTAGGCGAGAAGTATTAGACCAGACAGTCAGAATCCTTTCGCCACGCTTGAAATATCTTGAAATCACGTTTTTTCTTAATGCAGGCAGATGGCTCGCAGTCGCGATGTGGCTAGGCGGGCAGCCTTGGCATCCCAAACAAGGGCAAAACAAGGTTTGCCGCCTCAAGAGCTTGCTCTCGCCTCTTGCGATAAACCTTTTTTCAACCGTGGGCACGGCAGCAACGCGCAAGGTGGTCTGCGCAGGCCTGGCAAAAGGTTCAGAGCAAAGTTGGACAGCAGTTTGGCACCGATGGAAGCTTCTATCGGAGTCTCTCTCTACATAGCATCTTTCGGCGGCCCAGCCTCATGACAGGCTGCCGCAATGCACAGAACATGTGTGTGTGTGTGTGATGTCAGCAGGTGTCTCGAACGGTTTGCTTGCCGACCTGTAGCTAGTCAGAATTGGGTGGCGGTTAAGTTGGGGTGGGGCATGTAGCTTGCTCTGGAAACACCCGTTTTGAGCCGTGGAACATTCAGCTCGAACAAGTCAAAGGCATATCGTGCCGGGATCTGTTGAACCTTCTATGTATACATAACCAATGGCATGAAACGGACTCTTTCATCTGTAGTAAGCAAGCCGCATGCAGAACAACACGAAGCAACCATCGGTAGCAAGACGAACATGATTGTCACAAATACAAGCCTTCCAGTCTTGTGTGCAGTTCTCGCACCCTGAGGAGAGACATTCAAGCCCAACGTTTCTCTGATTCCTCGCACAGCGCTGGCTGTCTAGGAGAACTTGGAGTTGTAGAGCTCCACAAACCATTCCTCGCTCTCCGTCAGAACACACGATGTGAAAGCAACAACTCTGTGGCTCGAACCGGAGCATGTGTCGTTCCGTTGTGCGCACACACACTCTACTCAACTGACCTGTGCGAGAACGTTCGGCGCTGATCCCTTCGTCCCAAGAGGAGTTTGACTGAAATCTCACCATAGCCGTATAAAACCTTTAAAACGGTCACATCCCAAAACTTCTGACCTTCCGGACCCAGTTGCAGGCTCTCGGCTCCGAAACGGCAGCTTGCGAGCTTCCTGCAAGCTTATCCGGACTGCCGTCTACGTAAGCTTCAACTGGCTAGCTCTGTCGAATCAGCCAAGAACAAGGAGAAAAAAAAGAGATCAGGGCTCGACCCGAACAAACACTTCGCATGACAGGTAGGTTACGAACCCTCTGTGTTGCGACAGCGGCATGGCAGAGCTGAACTCCCCAGCCTTAATCTCGGCGATGATCTCACCACACAGGGGCCCCTTGCGATGGGCAGCCTCTGACACTGTACGAACACATAAGATGAAGCACTGGTAGCAAGTACGGAAATGGTGGCCGGCTTGTCGGCAGCTGCCGTCACACCAGCAGTAGCCACCGCAGCATAATGGCGGCGGCAGGAGCGGGAGCAGGAGCGGGAGCGGGACCAGCACCAGTACCAGTAGCAGTAGTAGTCGCAGTCGAAGCAGAGGCAAAAAAGGGGCAGCGCCAGCGCAGCAACAAGAGTCTTACGAGCAGCCGCAAAGGCAGAAGTTGAAGCTCTGGCAAGCCCGCTTCCAGCTGCCAGGAAGTGATTGAGTTAATGTCAAAGCTCCAAGAACATTATCCCGCACACCGCACTCTGCGTTTGGAAAATTGATCCATTACCACTTGTAATGGACTTGTAATGGAAAGGTTTCGTTGGATTGCATCTGCTTGACACTTTCGTTCTAATTTTGACTGCAGTTCTTACCTGCGATGCTGAATGGCGCGGGGCAGATGGGCCTCCTGCACAACATCCTTGTCCAAGGCCGATCCTGCTGCATCATATGCTGCCAGGGTGTTCTGCTCGATAGCACGCAGCACCACCTCCTCAAGACACACTCGATGCATCCTAAGGTCATGTTTCACCCTCCACAAAGTCCTGAACGCTTCCCGGCCCTGCGTTCGTCCTTGTCGGACTTGATCGTTTCGTCCGCACGCCCCAGCGCTTCCGTGCTGAGCTTGAGCGCTTCCAGCATGAAGTCCTTGTCAGCCTTACAGCTGAGCGACTGTACTTGCCTGGGCTGCCATCCTCGATTCCTTCTCTATTCCTTCATGAGGGCTTGTGAGGCCAAAAGACTTTGATGACCTCTGCCGAAAGCTCCAGCACTGCGCTGTTGAACCTCATTGCCTAAGCTGCAACGACTTCGCCAGCGCCCCTTCTACACGGATACATAACAGAACGAATAGACCGAAGAAATCAGGTTCCCCAGGACAACACTGAGTGGCCTTCAAAATGAAGGCCCTGTCTGCCTTCAGCTCGTCTGCTGCAAACTCCATCGAATACACATTCTGACGCACAGCTTCTAGGACGACGTCACCATCTGCACGCAGGTTTGCATCTGCATATTGTAGTGCATAGCCTGCGACACGCCTCGGTGTCGTGAAGCTTCCAAGATCCCGTTAAATTAGACAGACTCACACTGACACACATAAGCACGAATGCTTAATGAACATACGCACAGAACAGTTTTGAGTGCACAGCAAGATGCAGAAATACGACACCCAAAAATCTACTACAGCTTAAAAATGTCATGAAGTGTAAAGTGATCTCTTGAAACACAACCATACGATAAAACATAATTTGCACATTCTTCTCCCACCTTAGAAATCCAATCGGGGATTGAGCTTCATGCTGGCGAGACGCACCACACACAGCACGAATCGCTTGCTTGACCGTAGGTCTTTGTGCGCAAATTCGAAGGCAGCAAAGTTTTGTGCGACTGCAAAAAGCACCAGGCGCTTGTCTGCCCTCAGTTCTTCGGAAGCCAACCCGAGGACCCAGGAGTCGTGTCTGAGAGCTTCCCGGACGACCCGCGGATCACGTCGGAGCTTCTCAAACTCAGCAAGATGATGCTCGCGAACATGCCTGACATGGCGCAGGCACTCTGTGGGGATCTGCTCTGCAGCTCTGCTTGACATTGACGGTCTGGTTGTAACACGATTTAACGACATGGTGCTGTAAGGAGAAGCGGTCGTGCTTCAAGGCACGCAGCACAAGCCGCCGATCTCTCTGGAGCTCGCCGGATGCATGATGGAGAAAGAACAAATTGTCTTTGACCTCGGAAGAGAGTGAGGGATTCAATGCCAGAGTTCGATGCAGTATCTCGTGAAATAGAAACACAAACTCACGGTGCATGATTATGCGGCTGAGTCGCCGCCGAATCCACAAAGGATCTGCTCGATCTCAGCCTGTAAGTCTTGACCAAAAAGCTGCGGAACTCTTGCTGGGCCTGTTGAGCACTCGGTCTGAGAAACGCCTGAAAACGGTTGAAAAAGATCACTTCCCCTGTGCAGCCACCTTATCCAAAAAATGAAGGAGGACACTGAACTAGTCCTGGTCCAGGCCTTTACATGACCGTCGGAGCCGTGGGTGATGTCTGCAAAGGCTTCTACAGTATAGGCTGTTGCAACATTTTTTCAACCAGAAAACAAAACGGAGACGGACAGAAGAAAGCAGCAAGCAAGAAGGATGCATCATGCAGGATGTAATGCAAGCCAAGGCAAAGCCAGAAGAAGCAGAAAACACACACCAGAAGGCAACAAGGACACCGCAACACAAACATCCAAGAGCAACAGCAGAAAGCAGCGAGCAAAACAAACAGGAACTGACCTCCGGCTAAAGTACTTGTACCGTGGGTTCGGGTGCCAAGAAAATGCGAGGAGCTCATGCCGGCGAGGCAGCTGGAAAAGGGAATCCGTCAGCTCAGCCGCAAAAAGCTCCCGAAGTGCAGGAAACGCCGCCGCCAGCTCTCGCATGCAACACCTGCAAAGCCCAAAAAGACAGTCCGAGAATCACCTCATCATGTTGCTTCCCTTTCAATCGAGCTTCTGTTCGTTGTAGGAATGGACAAGCAAATACCCTAGATTCCGAAGTGTCCGGCCTATGCGGCGAAAGGCAACAGGATGCAAAAGGTAGTGAATTGAACTAAGGAGCTCCAATCTGAGGATCTCCAAAGCAAGGCCTTCATCTGGCTGTAGCTTGTCCAGACTTCTCCGGGCTAGAACTAGGCACTGTTGGACGAGCTCGCAGATCTGCCAACAGTCCAGCGCATGTGCTTGGCATCGCCACAGCCTAACTCGAGCAACGTGATGCTGCAGAGCTGGCAGGAGGATCTCCCTGTCTTGCACCCCTGGATCTGCAAAAAAGATCGCGAAGCCATCCCGTCGCAGCGCGGCAGACACCACATCGATGTCGGCTTGCAGCACTGGAGCCGCATGTCGCAAAGCAGAACCGTTCTGCTCCAAGGCTGCGAAGACGATGTCACGATCGCTACACGCTTCTGCTGACAGAAGATGCAAGCCAAAGGCTTGCTGTCGGACTCCTGCAAGAAGGAACTCCTTGTCCGCAGCAGCAGCCAACTTACGCTGAAGAAGCATATGCTCCAAGAGGGCGGGGTGCCACAGATCTGGGAACCACCTCGGATGCTCCCACACCACATCACCCAGACATCCCTGTCCCGAATGGGGCTGAGGCACTCAAGGGAGCACAACACACGGTCCAAATAAAACACGCCGGCCACGAGGACCTGGCTTGATGCCAGGGTGCTTGGCTGTGCAAAAAAAGCAGGTGTGCAGCGCGATTGTTCCAGCAACACTGAAGTTTTCCTAAGCAAGCTGTCAAGCGACAAGGGCCTGGTGCATCTCTGTGCTGGGCGACGGACGCGCAAGAGAATTCAGAAGGGCATACCGTCCTGGTGGAAACGTGGTCATCGGTCATCAGCGCTTGATCATGACCCTCACTCGGCGAATGTCTGGAATCCAAAAGAACCGAAGTACATTCAGCAAGCTTTAATGGCACATGCTGAGCTTGCTGTCTGAGTCTCTCCGCCTCAGCTTCACGACAACGTCACGATCCGACTTGGCCTTAGTCAGAGCGGCCGCTTTTAAGCACAGCAAGTCCAGGAGCCGAGCTGATTTGGCCTCAAACAGAAACTCTCCGACGAGGCACCATGGCTTCAGCACCTTCCAGTATCTGCACCTTGTGCAGCAGCTCCTGGCAGGACCAAACCGCTGTCCAGACTTGGTCTGCGCTTGGCCAGATTTCGGACCGCTGGCTGTTCGCACTTGAACCTTTCGTGTTGGATCTTTAAACGGGCGGGAGGGTCATGCAGCCGGAGTTCTGAAGGCACACGCTGCCTGCAAAGATGGAGGATACAGGAACTGCAAATTCATGATGAGAAGACAACGTGGCTGCAACAATGTGAACAACACAGTCCCAACACTCATTCGAACATGTCCACACTCACTCGCACACTCCCTCGGAAATGAGTACGCACACCCGAAGCCTTTTCCCAGCTCGTTGCGAGTATGAGAGAAGATTGGGTACCAGATAGCAGCAAGCATTGAATCCAGGCGACCGTATCCCCCCAAATCGGCTTCGTGTAGTCACTAGCACTGTCTGGACACACACTCCCCCTCTGAGCAACCAAGACTAAGATTCATGCACCACACGCTACACGGCGAGACAGACACCAACCAAGACCTTTGACATCACCGCATCTTTCGACATGCGAGACTCGGAAAGTCGTCCTGGATGTCGCACTCCGGCTCGGCGGCAAAGTCATCGGACAAACCAAATCGAAGCAACACGTCCCAGAGGAAACCGCTGCTGTTCCGGAGCTGTTCACCAATGAATTGAAAAGCAGATGCATCCTGGCTCAAGGCTTCCTTCACCACCTCTTCGTCGTTCCGTTCGCTGCCCACGTGCTCCAGCGACATACCAGCTTGTCGAA